GGATTGGAGAATTAATTCAATGATTTAAACTTAAGGAAGCATACCTAACTTTGAAGCTTGATCAATACGTGTTGATTTTTTGAATGGAGGAAGACTGTTTGAATTAATTGAATAAAGAATTTTTGTCATTTATGTACAGTTATCACTCAGAAAATGCACCACTGTGGAAATAGCTTGTTCTCACAATTAAAAGAGCAAGTGTTGTTTTTTTAGCTTTTTATTTAGAAGGGAATAAATTGTTGTGATCCATAAACTCGTCAACAGTACAACAATTAACATTTAGACTTTTTAAAGAATTATTAGAATGGCCGGATAGAGAAGTGAAGCGAGTTTTTTATTATTATAAGGCCCCGAATTTTTTCTAGTTTCTTTTTTACATTGTAGTGCCAACATTCGGTTTATTTCCAACAAATTTTTTTATAAATTCAAATATGGATAAAATTGTTAAATTGAAAGAAGTGACAACTGTCCGCGATCAAAAAGTTTTAATTAGATATTGGTGAGCCAACGATGAATCCTCTGGAATTATTCATTAAAAATTGGTGAAAATAATTGTGGCCAAGCCCATTCAAAAGAAACTATTGGAAATTTGGCTTCAAAGTTCAACAAAGGTGATCTGGACATTGAAGACCACCGAACAGGTACTAATAAAGATCAAGTAAGAAGAGAAGAAAGATTGCTCCAAATTCGCGAGGCATTGGAAGAGTCAAGGCACTGGTCCACCAGAACTCTTGCCAGTAAGTTAGAGATACCTCTGAGCGGTGTAAAAAAATATCTGAAGGAAAGACTGAAGTTAAGGAAAAACCTCGGGAAATGGCTGCCTCACGAAATGAGTGAAATGAACAAAGAAAACAGGATAATGAGCTGCCGTTTGTGCTAACAAATGTTAAAAGAGAATCCTGATGCCATAAAAAAGACTGTAACAATTGATGATACCTGGGTGTCTCTCTACATGTCACCAGATCGCAACCAACGTAGACAATGGGTATTTCCAGGGGAAGAACCTGAGCCAACTACACGTGAAAACATTCACGGTAATAAACGGATTCTCATCATGGCATTAGACTATAACGGAATCGCTTTTTGGGAGCTTCTACCCGAAAAAACAACTGTGACCTCTTCGGTGTATAAAGATTTCCTGGTGGATAAATTGCCGGTTTGGATGAATGAAAACAAGATAAAACATCCATATCTATTACACGCTAACTCCAAACCACATAAGGCGGCTGAAGTAACCAGTTTGTTGGAAGCGAAGCCAATCCCCCTCTGGCCACACCCGGTCTACAGCCCAGACATTTCGCCTCTGGATTACAACTGCTTTGCGCAACTAAAGCGCAAGTTTAGAGGTATTCGACACGATAATTGGGATGATTGGGAGCTTTGTAAATAATGTGTAAACCGTTAAAACAGTTAACATAGAAACAACGAGGTTTAACAGATCGATTGACAACCAAAGGATTAAGTTTTTCTCCAGTTCGATTTTCACAAAATAATATTGTGATTCTTTCTTTGAAAAGTCTATCTCCGATGTGCTTAGTTTTTGCGATGAAATATGTTTTAACAGGAGCTTGTCTCCAAAATAATGCCGTTTCATGGGGTGGTTTCATAATGTTTATGGGGTCTTGCATTATAATGGAGGATATATGGTCTCCTATGGTTGCGATCAATTCAGGGTGGTAAATAGTTAAACAAAAATTTTTTATAGACCTCCCAGTTACGGTAGTTCTTTCAGGTAACAGCTCCCAAAAGCAGATTCTGTTCCAATCCATGGCCATTATATGCATTCTTTTATCCCCATGAATGTTTGCGGCCACAACAGGATTAGGTTCGCTTTACTGGAAACAGCCATTCCCTGCGTTGATTACGATTTGGGGCCATATAGAGAGAAACTGCATCTCAGACACGAGAGCTGTTAAAAAAAAAATTTTGTTCACTCAATTTCTCTTGACTTATCGAACCGATTTCTGCCATACTTATATTAGCAAGTTTTTTTCAGCTCTAAACAAACCGTTTATGACATTAAAAATTTGAAATTCAAAAATAAAATTTTCACCCATAGCAATAGCATGGGAACAAAAATTTAAAAAATTTTGTTCACTCAATTTCTTTTGACTTATTGAACCGATTTCTGCCATACTTATATTAGCAAGTTTGTTTAGCTCTAAACAAACCGTGTATGACATTAAAAAATTTGAAACCTGAACATAAAATTTAAATCACATTTATTTGGAAAAAAACTAAGTTTCTTATTTGTCCTTAATTATATGTAATGTTTTTAATCGGTTATTGAGTAGTTGGAATCAGAGGAAGATGATTGAACTCAAT